TCGGCAGCTTTCCTACACTTTCTGCAGATATTTTCTATGCCAGCTGTTGGGCACAGAAAGCATCCTCCATACATATGTATAGAGGGATTGCTTGGAGCCTAAAACTTGTTCAACAAGCTTGATGCTTGGTTTTCTATAAAAGGAAGCCTCCTCCCTCTTGCTTTAGGTTGAGAAAATTGGCTGAGGGCTATACATATCATCTATCTCTATAGTTCTTCCTTTCTCTCAATATTTGTGCTTAAAAGTGCCATTTCTTCAAACTTTTGCACACAAATACCTAGTGAGACACCTTTGCTTTGGAGCTAAGGCACCTTGAAGCTATTTTTTGTGTTTTTGAATTGTTTTTTGTCCAAAAAAAGTTGCTAGAGTTGCTACTTTGAAGTTGTTCTTCAAGGGTGAGTTTTTAGCCCCATTAAAGCTTTGCTTTTGATTAAGTCTTTGGCCCTATTTGCATATTGTTTTAGGGCTAACTTTCAATTGAAAAAAGTTCTGATTTTAAGTGCTTAAGATGTTTGTTTGAGGCTTCTTTGGTGTTGGGGGTGGTCTACTCCCTTGCATGCCTTATTTGCTAGGCTTTTGAGCCATCCTTTGAGGCTTTTGTTTTAGCCTTTGTTTGGCCTTTTAGCCACTGAAATCCAGTGGATTTTTAGTGGTGGAAAGTGTGTTTTGATGCTCCAAATAGGAGAGGGTCATCCCCTCTTCTTGTGTCTTGTGTGCTTGTGTCGATGGCCCATCAAAAGAGCATGTATTTCTATCTTCTTGAGGCTTAGTTTGAGCATGTTTTTGTGAGTTTTTGGGCCTGTTATAACTTTGTCCATGGCTGGTTTGGTCACCTCTTGCATGCTTTATACACTTGTAGTGTAAATCTACTTGTAGCCTTGAAAAGTAGCATGTCTTTCTAGCATGTATTGGCTCCATTTCAACAGGTTTTTGGCCATTATTTGACATCTCATAACTCTTATTTGGGTTGGTTTGGTCACCTCTTGCATGCTCCTTGCACTTGTAGTGCAATTTTGGTTCACTAGCCTAGCATATCTATTGTTTTAGCCTATTGATCTAGCATGTGTATGCTCTACTCCAGCACATTTTTGGCTTTGATTTAACATGCTTGAGGTCTGATTTAAGTGGTTTTGGTCATGCATGTTTGGTTTTGCATAGCTATAGTGCATTTGGCTTTGCTGGCCTTGCACTTTGGGACCCCTAGCATGTCATATTTGAGCCTTTTGCATGGCATGGCATCATTTGGTAGGTAATTTCAGACCATAAACTTCTCCCATGTTCTCATGTTTATCACTCTTTCATTGTGTTTAAGAGTTATGCCCTTATGCCTTGTTTGTGGGCTAATTCGGGAGCCTATCTTTCTTGCCATCTTTGTTACGAGTCTAGCATGTTTTTGCTACCACTTTGACCTGCCTTAGGTCTGTTTTTAGTGCTTTAGGTCATTTGAGCATTGCTTGGTATGGTTATAGTGTAAAGCCCTTGACTAGCTTTGTATTTCAAGTCTCTTGGCATGCTTTATTTGAACTATTTGCATGACATGGCTTCACTTTGCATGTGATTTCAGAGCATATTTCATTGCCACACTCTCACATTTTCCACTCCTTCAATGTATTTGAGAGTTGTGTCTTTATGCCTTAAATATGAGCCAATATGTATGCCATCTTGCCTAAGCTTTTGGGCTGCCATATCAGTGCGTTTTTGGTGTTGTTTTGCCATGATACAGCTTTGATTTTTGTTGGTGAAGTCATCTCATGCTTGGTTTTGGTAGGTGTAGTGTAATCCTCCTTATTGGCCTTGCATACTCCATGGTTCATGCCCTTCATGCTAGCATATGTTAGCTCTACTCCATACATGTTTTAGCCTTGATTTGACATGCTCTAAGACTGTTTTGGGTTGTCTCGGCCATATGGTTCATCTATTGCATAGCTATAGTGCAAGTGCCTATGCTAGCTTCAAGCTTTCATGCCTCTTGCATGCTCTACTTGTGTTGTTTGAGTGATTTGGCATCATTTCATACATGATTTCAGTGCATATAGTGTTGTCACACTTCTATGTTTGTCACTTCTTAATCATGTTTGAGAGTTGTGCTCTTATTGCCTAGTTGATAGGCCATTGCATGAGCATCACCATCTTGCCTTTCATGCCATCATTTCATAGCATTCTGGCCATTGTTTTGGCATGATTTAGGTATGTCCATATTCGGTTTAAGTCCAATGAGCATTGTTTTGCATGCCTCTTGTGAGATGCTCTTTCCTAGCTTTGATGCCTTAAGCTTCTAAACTTGCCATGCATGCATTGTTTGCATGGTAGAATATTGTGTATGCCATTCTCGCATTAGTAAGATAGCATGATTGTTTGCATGTGTGTTGCATTGCATTGTGTTTGGATCGGATGTTGATCTAAACACGAGAAACGAGGAGCATTTCATACTTGAAGTGATGAAACGAGCCTAATTTCTCAGTCGCCGACCCTCTTGATCAAGCTTGATAGATGTGGAGGCTTTTATGTGTTATTTGTGCATTCATTGACATTGAATTGTGCAAACTTGGCTCCTCGGCCATCGTGCATTGCGATGCTCGGTTGGTGGCCCGAGAGTCGAGAACCGCACTCCCTTGAGCTTAAGAAATGATAGGGAGAGTGGTTGTGCACACATACCTTGGAAATACACTGTTGTGCCCCTTCTTGTTCTCTGTTGCAGCAAATTAGAGCTTGGTAGGATTTTCTGGTCGGCAGACCAGAAAAAGTAGCTGGCCGACCACTTTTTCTGGTCTGCAGCATACTTAGGTGGTCTACAACACCATTAAGTGGTTGGCAGCCTTCCTGGAGGTCTCCATGTTGGAGTAGAAGCTATTTGGAAGTTTGTGCAGTGTTCTGAAATCAAATAGAAACAGAGGCAAGTTGGGGCATAGTGATGGATTTCCGAACGAGGAGACCGAGCATGCATGCATTTCTCGTCCCGAGGACTTTTTTTTATTGCTTTACTTAGCTGCTTTGCTTAGCTAGCGAATGCTTTGGTTTTGTACTTAATTAGTTAATGCGCTTAACTAATCAATTGGTGTTATAATAACTAATTAGTTAACTTGTTAGTTAATTAGTTTCGTTTTGTAATAATTAGTTTAATTAGCTTAGATTAGCTAGTTTACTTATTATTCGGACCCTCTGTCGAGAGGGCGAATTTTGTAATATGTGTGCGTGTGTGTGATGCATGTCTTTCAACCCCTATTTTTTTCTCCCTTTTACTTAACCGCTTTTGATGGTTAGTTTAGGGTCATTTTCAATTAGCATTCTTATGCTTCGCATGCGTGCATCATTCATCTGTTTTGCATGCACCGGGCTCGGCGCATCATACAAACTGCATTGTATTTCAAATACCAATTTGAATACATGTTATCAAATTGCATTCATATGCCATTCTAGATAGCCGAGCCTATTTTAGTTGCATTTTTGCATGTGTTGCATTAGGCATCTTAACATAGCTTGGATCATGCATTGATTACTAATTAGCTTCTGTTTTGGCTCGGAATACACTGTGAGTGTTTATGCTTTAGCATCCTTGCATGTATGTAAGTGACTGCCATGACAGCATGCTTGCCATGAGGCTATTTGCTTAGTTGATAAACTGCATGAATGCCTGTGGGTGGAGGCTTGATTGCTTGAATTGGGACAATTCATCAAATACGAGCTTTAAGCCCACTTGAGGTGGCAAAATCATCATGTTTTCTAAGCCCACTTGAGGGTGGCAAATCCGCGTCTTAGCTTACTTACGAGTAGCATTTTCAAACCATTTTCGAAAAACAAACATGAGATGTTTTGTTCCAAATTAAGTGATTTAGTCTATACTTGTATGCTGTGCGCATCACATAGTAAACTAGCTAATAAACCGGAATAAGAACACATATGTTTTCAAAAACAACATATCATGATTAGTAGAGGCCGATCAAATCGGGCGAGCGGGAGTGCTCATTTCAGGACCTTCCCCTCTCATACCCAAGTTCCCAAGCCGAGGCAACTTTGGTGATGACGGGTACGTGGCCTTAGGCACGAGTCAGGGTTTCCTAAATTTTCCAAAGACAAAACATTAAGGTGGCAACTCTGAAATCTGACAAAGCAGTCCATGTTTGGCGCTTTTTTATTAAAATTGATTTTCCGAAACGATTTGTCGGATTTGGACTCTTTGGTGATTTATCAGTCTTACATTGTACTTTGTGAGATTAGATTCAAAACCGTGACAGGAGTCCGAACTGTAGTAGCTAGAACAACAATTTGCGCCCTCGCGCGCGGAGCGGAGTTCGGGCGGTCTACATAGTGGTTCAAGAAGTGAGGATTTGATTCTGAATGAAGCTCAGGCAACTTTGCATATGGGTAAATTACTTGGGGTAGAGTTTGAGCAGGATGAAACAAGTATTGTTGATCGTATTGTGGTGCTCGAACAGCAGGACAAAGGAAAAGTGGGGGCCAGAATTGGTCCATCAGAGTAAGCTAGTTTGGAGGTAAGTGTTTATTTGTGTGGTTAGTAGTTTTAATGAAGATACTCTTGTGGAATATTAGAGGGTTGGGTTGGTTAGAGAAGAGAGGTAAAATCAAGAAATTAGTAAATGAAAGAATCATTGGGATGCTTTTCCTTTAGGAATTGAAGAGATCAACGTTATCAGAATGTGATATTAGATTGTTTTGGGAAAGGGCTCAGTTCGAATATATGGAGGCTGGTTCGCAAGGCAGTGTGGGTGGTATTATTTGTGTTTGGGATCCCGAGTTTTTTCAATTATAGGAGTGTTGTGGTAGTAGGAATTTTCTACTCCTAGCAGGTACTCTCTATCATTCTTTTAACCGCGTTTTGATGAACATCTATGCTCCTACTGATGCAAGTAAAAGGGGAAGGTTGTGGGACACCATAAAATAGCTTAGAAACATTTTCCCCAGCCCGTGACGTCTGGAGGGGGGATTTCAATGAAATTAGACTGATTAGTGAGCGTATAGGTGTGTCTAGGAGGGATAGAGGAATGAGAGATTTTAATGTTTTTATTGAGTCTTGTGAGCTCACAGATATCCCAATGATTGGAAGAAAATTTACATGGTGCAATGCACAGAAGGGTGCATTACGGAGTAAAACTGATAGGTTTTTGTTGGATCCTGAATGGATTGAGAAGTTACATGTTAAATTGTGGGGGTTGCCAAAAATTGTGTCTGATCATTGCCCAATTTTGCTAATGGAAGATGAAAGGGATTGGGGCCCCAAACCTTTCAGATTTTTGAATGCCTGGACTGTTAATCCTACTTTTTCTAAAGTGGTAAGGAAGGTGTGGGAAGAGTCGCAAATCACTGGGTGGGGAGGGTTTATAATGCCTAAAAAACTCCAACAGGTCAAGTATGCTTTGAAGAGATGGAACTGTGATGTGTTTGGAGTTATACCAGTGAAACTGCAGCACGCCAAGGAGAAATTACATGAATTTGATCTGGTGGTTGAAACCAGAGAACTATCTAGTGTGGAGAAATTAAGTAGAAGAGAAACCAGAGATGAGGTGTGGAAATTGAGTAAGATGCAAGAATGGATTTGGCTTTAGAAATCAAGGTTAAACTGGGTGCAAAAAGGGGATAAAAACACTAGGTTTTTCCATGTTATAGCTAGTTGTAGGCAGAATAGAAATGGCATTGGTTCCTTGAACTTTGGTGGAATTGTATATGATGAACCAGTCCGAATTAAACATGAGGTGTTTAATTTTTTGAAGACACATTTTTCTAAAGTATGGAGCTTTAGACCAAAATTGGCGGGTAGTTTTAAATCAATTGGCAACTCAGTAGTGGTAGATTCCCTCGAGGCAGAATTTTCTAAGGATGAAATTTGGGCTGCAGTGAGAGGGTGTGATGGGAATAAAGCTCCTGGCTAGATGGTTTTAATATGTTATTTTTTCAGAAATGTTGGAAGGTTGTAAAGAAGGATGTTTTCCAGTTTATGCAGAATTTTCATTGAAATAGTAAACTGGTAGGTGGTATAAACAGTTCTGTTATTACCTTGGTGCTTAAGAAAGATAATCCAATTAGTCTTGGGGACTACCGACCTATAAGTTTAATTGGGTCAGTGTATAAGATTCTTTCTAAGGTGTTGGTTAACTGATTAAAGATAGTGATGCCTAGAATAATCAGTGAGGAGCAGTCATCGTTTTGTGGGTGGTAGAAGTATTCTTGATGGAGTTTTAATTGCAAATGAAATTGTTGACTGGTGGAAGAGAACCAAAAAGTGAGGTATTATTCTGAAACTTGATTTCGAAAAGGCTATTGATTCTGTTAATGGGTCCTTTTGTTTTCTATGGTGAAGAGTTTTGGTTTTGGAGCAAAGTGGTTATCTTGGGTGCAGGATTGTATTTCAACTCCACGAGTTTCAGTTCTGGTGAATGGTTCCCCCTCATCTGAGTTTAGTCCTTCACGAGGCCTTAGGCAAGGGGACCCTCTCTCCATTTTCCTTTCAATATGGTTGCTGAGGGTCTTAACATTTTGTTGACCAGGGCTAAGGAATTAAATTTATTCAAAGGGGTTGTTCTTGGGTCTAATGAAATCTCTGTGTCCCATCTTCAGTTTGCTGATAACTCTATTATTTTTGTGAGGTAGAATAAGGGGAAGTGGTGAATATCAAGACGATTTTTCAATGCTTTGAAATGATATCTGGGCTTAGGATTAATTATCACAAGAGTGTGATTAGTGATATAAGGGTACATGATGAATTGCTGGCTGAATTTGCTGGTAGGTTGGCTTGTAAGTGCCAAAAGCTTCCTTTTAAGTACCTTGGGTTGCCACTTAGGGCTAATCCAGGAAGATTAAAGATTTGGAAACCTATTGTGGATAGATTTAAAGTTAAGTTGGCTAGCTGGAAGAGAAGGTTCTTATCCCTGGCTGGGAGGCTCACTCTTATCAAGGCAGTTTTGTCTAGCCTTCCAGTTTGCTGTCTCTCATTGTTTAAGATGCCTAAAGGAGTTGCTAAAGAGTTAGACAAGATTCAAGCTGCTTTTCTATGGGGTGGGTCTGTGATCAGGAGCAAATTACACATGGTTAAATGGTTTGAAGTCACTAGGTGGGTTAGGCATCAAGAGTCTCAGAGATGTTAACGCTTGCCTGCTACTTAAGTGGTGATGGAGGTTTGGTGGGGATGAGAATTTGTTGTGGAAGAAAGTTTTATGTGAGAAATATAACATTCAAGGAAGCAAGTGGTACCCAAATACGGTAGCCTCCTCAGATGCATTCTCAGTTGTGGAAGGATATTATCTCTATGGCAACATTCTATCCTAATCTACATAGCTTCCTTATTAGCAATAACTTCATATTGGTTGGTAATGGGGCTAGGACCCTTTTCTAGGAGGATAAGTGGGTTGGTAATAGTTGTCTAAAAGATGATTTTCCTAGACTTTATTGTATCTCCCCAGATAAACTGAAATTAGTTCAGTAAGTTCTTGAACTAATGAGGAGCCTACATGAGTGGGAGGATTGCTTTAATAGAGGGCTTCGAGCTTGGGAAAAGGATGAGGTTGCTCGCTTGGTTAACTTGGTTAATAATACTTATGAGCTGAGAGTTGATAAGGTTGATGGTTTTTGTTGGAGGGCTGGAAATTCTGGGTGTTACAGCATCTTATCTGCTTATAGGTGGTGTGAGAAAATTTCGTAACCTCATGATTATGAGGTTATCTCCAAGATGATTTGGTAGAATGTATCCCCTCCTAGAGTCAAATCTTTTGTATGGCTAGCTTGGAGGCAAAGGTTGAAAACTTATTCTTTCTTACATCGGATTGGTGTCATTCCTGTCATTGATAACATCCATTGCGTGTGTTCTGCAAAGCTGAAGCAGAGTTGGTTAAACATGTTCTGCTGTGGTGTTCTTTAGTCTGGAGGGTTTGGGCTGCAGGCATAACCTAAACCCACAGGGGCAATCCCAACCTATAAGAACAGAAATCACAGTAGCAGCATTCCAGAATGCAGACCAAAAGACGCAAACCCAATCCCCAAATTCAACCTATTCATTTGCTACAAAACTTGATTTGTTGCAAGTTAAACAAGAAGTCATTGATAGAGAAAGGCATACCAAGAGCAGAGGCTCTAACCCACAAAGCAACCCTGGTTTTTAATTTGATCACATAAACCATATGGATCTAGTTACATATCAGAAAACTTTATCTCGTTCCTATGCTTCCAAATGGACCACAAAGTAGCAAGAGGTAAAACATTCCAAACTTTCCTTTCAAATCTATTACCAGTGAACCCAGCCCATATCTGCAAAACTCTATCCACTGATGCCAGCTTAACCCATTGTGATCCCCACCAAAGAAATTGTAGCCCTTTGAGCTAGCTTTCCAAAGCCACTTGATTCACCACAATCTGATGTCGAATAATAAGGTTATACTCAAAATACAAAAGTCTGTCAAGGACGTGCAACTGCACACACCTTGTGCAACTACACTTCCATTTAACAGACCCGAATTTTTATTTTTCTTGGACTATATTACGAATTATGTAGGAGGTGCCACAAGTTAGTGATGGGGAAGCCCTAAGGGGATCTTTCTTGACCACCAAAGCTCCTCTTTGCCTATAAATACACCTCATCTCCTCCCTTTTCAAAGGATTAGACTTTTAAGCAAGTTTGGGTAATTTTTGAGTGAAAACAATTGCTTGCCTCTCACCTTCAACCCTAATTCAAACAGATCTAAACCTTACAGTAGTTTTAACACATCAAAGTGTATTTGAGGTTTTAAGAGCTTGAATCAAAGTGAGGCTAAAACTTGAGAGAAGCTTTCAACCAAGCAAAACTTTTCTTTTCTCGCCTCTTTCTTGCTTGTTCTTCGATTTGTTGCAAACTGGCTATTTCTTTTAATTTCAGTAGCTTTTAATTTCATATTTTCAGTATATAATTATAGTTAGGGTGCAATTATGGCACAATCATTATATAGGTTACTATTTTTGTCAGTTCACTTTATTTTGCATGTTTTGTTTAGTTTAATAAAATAGCATGTTTAGGGTTAGATTAATCATGTAATCATCTCGCATGTAACCCGGTTTAAAATATCATTGTATCATAGTTTGCATTATTTATGTGTTAGTTGCTCTTTTATGCATGAAGTCATGTTAGTAGCCATTAAATCGAGCTTAAGTTTGCATTTTGTATGTCTAAGTGCATATATTGGGATCATGTTTATTTTATGTCTTTGGATGTAAGACGCTTGAATGGACATCCAGATAAGTTTCCTGGATCTTGGTAGTATATGCTTGTTTGTTGCATTATGTTTTTAATAAAGCAAGTCTATGTGTTTTTTGGTGCAAAATTGGATTTTTTTATTTTATTTTATGTTTTTACAAATATTGCTTATTTTAGTTCAAGTTTATGGCCATGATTTATTAAAAATCTATTTTAATGGAAAATTATTATTTGTTTTGGAAAACATGGCTTTATTCTTTAAATCTAAAATAAATGATATCTATTTTATTTAAATCACCTAATTTTAGGATTAGTAAAGGTTTTAGGGTCTAATAATGGATTGTTTGAAATAATTAATCACTAAAATTATAAAATAGTAACTTAGTAGAGGCCAATCTTCAAATTGGGCAAAAAAGAGTGCTATCATTCAGTGACCTTATTCTTTTGTACCTAAGTTCCCAAATCTAGAATTCTCTGGTTATGACGGATCGGTCCTTAACTTAGTTTTTATTGTTAAATGTTTCTTAATTTCCCATAAAATTAAGTCGTGACTCTAAGTTGGTTAAAGCAAGTTGGCACAACATTTGTATGGGAACGGGTCTTAAAAATTTATTTGGTGAAAGAAATAAAATAATAATAATAATAATAATAATAACAACACTTATCATCAAAATAGTAGTAGATTTGTAAATTTCACATTTTAAGTGTCTAAGTTTTTTAAATTTCTTAAAACGTATTTTAAAGACACTTTAACCTTTTTAATATTTACTTCTGATATACTGGAGAAAAGAATTTTACTCGCCACATGTTGAACCAATTATGTCTCCTAAAATCAAGAAAAGTTTAAGTAAATTACAAAAACAAAAACTAATCCACAAGTTTAACAATTATATGATCTTAGAATAAGGTATGCTATGTTTTGGATTGTCTCAAAACCAATGTTCCCTCCACACTCTGACTATCTGCTCAATTGGCACATTCTTAGTCTCGGGCAAAAATAAGTAAGCAAATCCAGTCATCACCGCCACCCATCCCCCGAAAAAGAAGAAAATCCCAAACTTGAAGTGGCAAAGCATTGCTAGAAAACTTTGAGCAATAATGAAAATGAAGAGAAAATTTATTGCCACATTAATACCTTGCCCCGTTGATCGTATCTCTAATGGAAAAATCTCGCTTGGAATTAAAAATCCCAATGGACCCCATAACCAACAAAATCCAGAAATATAGATGCAAATAAAAATTAGGACCACAAAAGCATACCCTTTGCTCAACTCCCCATGATCCCCTAGTTGAGTTGCCATTATACTTCCAATGACAATTTGTGAAACTAGCATTTGTGTTCCCCCAATTGTAAGCAAAACTCTTCGGCCAAGTTTATCCACTATCAACATTGACTTGAAGGTTGAGCCCCCTGTCACAACTGTTGACATAAGTGACGCACTTTCACCTAGACCTATAGTCCGAAAAAGCACTGGGGGCATAGAAGCCAATGACATTGATTCCTGTAACTTGTTGGAAGAATGGAATCTCTATTGCCATCACAAATTGAGGCCTATACTTTCTTTGCATGATTTTCTTGAATGGGTGTTTGATGGTTTTTGATACCTCATTTGCTTTTATGAGATCATCAAGTTCTACTTGGACATCTTGAGTGCCTCTGACCTTTTGCAACATCAACTTTGCCTTCTGATGATCGTTGCTCAGCTGAATTAGGCTGTTAGGTGTCTCTGGAAGAAAAAGGGCTCCTAGAGTTATAAATGAGGCAGGGATTGCTGCCATGGCTAGGGAGATTCTCCATCCCCATCCGCCTTTGATCTTTTGAGTGCCATAATTAATAAGGTTCGCTAACAGAACACCGACTCCAATGCTTAAATGGAATCCATTGTTGATTGCACCTCTATGTTTAGGTGGAGCCATTTCTGAGAGATATAGTGGGACTGACTGCATAATAAGCATAGCAATATCACATGCTATAGGAAGAAAGAAAAAACTATTATGACAATTTCATTTCCTTTTCAAGTAGCATTTACAGTTAAATACCTGGTTTGCAAAGCCAACCCCAAAACCAAGCAAGATGCGACCAAGTATTAGCATATACACATTGAAAGCTGCACCACCAAGAGCTGAACCGGCAAGGAATGCAACCCCTCCAACAAGTATTGATGGCTTGCGCCCAAAGGCTTTAGTGATTGATGAGGCGAAGAAAGAAGCAAAGAGACCAGCCACATAGAGAGATGATGTGAATGATGTCAACAATTGGCTATCAAATATGCAGTAGTTGCTAATCGTGGTGTCTTCTTGCATTTTGGTATACACCTCTGGGAAGAATTTCTTAAGAAATGGATCCATAGAGGTCACTCCACCTTCAAAATTTACTCCCATGACTTAATAAAAGAATTTCATCATTTTCCTCTCATTACATAGTCTAGTTTATCTTTGGAAAATAGCAACTATTACAACTAAAATCTGCCAATAAGTTAAAAGACAATTGAAACATGACACCATCCAACTACTACGTCAAAAGCCTTAAGCCCTAAGTATGTGCCCTAACTCTCACTAAATAAATACAAACAAATGATGTTAAATTTTGAGAATCAATAAATACGACCTCTTTTTTGTTGTACCTTTCAATTGAGGACTGCCATTCAAAAAGAATCTTTGTACAAAAATTTCATACAAAATGATATGATCTTTTATGGTGATTGTAGCTTATAGTTTACAAGCATACCATGGCCATATAATTTTTGATGTACTTTATGTATACAAGCAAAGTTTGTAAATCACCTTTATTAGCAATTTAAGTAGTATTTTAATACTTAACAAGTAAACACTGAAAAAATATTTTTGAATTTTCATAAATTATTTCCACCCCAAGGTAGAGAAAATCATGTGAAAATAATGAGCGTTTTCATTTTTCTTATTTTTGTCACCAAACTATTTTTTAATTTATTTAATTTATTTTTTTATTTTTTTGTATAATACAGATTATGAAAATTCAACTAGTAAATGTCTAACAATATATGAGATTATAAGCTTGAGTTTTTACAAAATGTCATACATTGATGTTGTTCTATATCAATTAAAAATCTTTAAACTACATTTTCAA